AAAAAAACCCAGGTGACGAGGACTGACATGATCGAGGAAGAACATCGACAAGGCAACCTGGGTTGGCGCACGTATTCGGTGTCGTCCTCATCCCGGCCCAGGACACACGATGGAACACCAGGCATGGGTGAATGGCATTCGCGCTCTGACGCAAACGAAACAGCAGGAAATGTTAGGAAAGGTCCGGTCTGATACATGCCTCAGTCCGGAATCAGAGGACGCCAAAAGCAGCGCCAGATCTCGAATCTCGATCTGCATCCGAGGGATCTTGAGTCTGGAGCCATCCGATTCCAATTCGACGCCCTGGAGAACGAAAGGAAAACTATCACACTGAGGCGTTCGGGATCATGATGGGGGTCTCGAACTCGTTTCGAAGACTTTGCGATGAGGTGCGGCCATCTATCGACGGATAGTACATGGATTCGGTCCCCTGTGTCTTGCGAACGGAGTTTCAGGTTTTCCAGAATGGGCTGCGCAGTCGTAGTCAAATCAGTCTCGATCTAAGGGAGCCCGTGACTCGTGACATTCTGCTCTCCAATCCGTTCTTCGTCAGTCCTCCGTTCCCCTCCTTCATCGTGAGCGGAGTCACCAACATGTGGCCCTTACTTGACTCCTTTGGGATCTCACGAAAGCGGAGACGGTCTCTCCGGAGCGAGCAAGCGCTCTCCTCTCGGGAAAGCTCCACACTCCAGAAACCAGGAACGTTGGCAGCCGCGATCCCCGTCATTATTGCGTAACAATAACTCTCCAATTAACGGAGCTCCGAGGCCCTCGGTTCGCCTGCGTTGATGATAAACATTGTATTTTTTAATTTTCCGGGGCACTCCATCATCGTAGACAGAACTCTAATCGTCCCGTCGCTCATCTGAGCTTGAAAATGAAAGCGTTATAAACACAAGCCAGTCAATTGATCCATTCTCTTCCGCAAAACTCGGGGCCCATCCTTAATCTTATCTGAAGTTGTTGACGGCTACCCGGCTAGCGGGCGATCTCGAGTATTTCCAGCACCTTTCCCCCTCCCTCTTGTCAATGACCTCTTCTTCCACTCTTTTCTGACAAAGTCTCGACTTCCGTCCGACGGCTTAGGTCAAAGTGATCCATCGAGATTAGTTTAACCATTTCGCTCTAACTGATAACTGATCACTCCGAAACGGATCTCGGAGGGTGTCAAGCGGCTTACTTGAGCAGAATAATTCTGCCCATCCTCCTCTGGGCGGAATCATGGCGCAGCCAGGGATCGAGCCTGGAACATTTTCCGAAATCAGATGCGTCCTACTACGTGTTTTTGACAACTTCACCAAATCGAATTTGATTATAAAGAATCGATCCCGTAGTCTTTTTCTTAGATCATTCTCCGATACAGCCTTGCCGACGGCCTTCATTCTTAATGCTGACGATTCCGAGGAGGAATCACAGCTCACGTGGGAAGCTCTATCTAAGAGCCGCTTTTGAAAACATTGGAACCGCGGAACTCTTGCAGAATTTTGTATTAAGAAATCGACCATCCAATAATAATCGGGCACTATTCGGAGAAATGCCAACTAGAATCGTATACTGAGCAGAACGCCAGTCTCGTCCATCAGGAGCGCTGATTAACATGTTCTGGGAAGTACTCAGATGGCGGAAACTAAATTGAGACCAGTGAATTCTCATCTCGAGTAGCGGGAAGGAGCCTCTGATAGCAGTATGTATATAATGATCTCTGCAGAAAGATAATACATACTAATCTCGTACAGAAAATATCAGCGATCATCACTCACCTAGCGAGAAAAACTCGCGTAGCGTTGAAGCTTTTTTTCTCGGAATTCTTCTTTGCGGACTCGCCCCAATATCGCACGTCAGAGTTACTCTATGCAAAAGGTTCCCAGACCGACTGACTGAGTTATAAATTGCCTCTACCGTTATAAAGTTCATCCACTGTCTTCCTGTACTAGCGGAAGACCGTTCTGCGTGCACCCGTGTAGTATTGAGACACAGGATCTCTCGCTCGGAGAGTTGCGATCGCCGGGGAATTGTAGCGAGTATTCGATAGGAGGTAGCTCATAGAGGAGGTAGCTCATTCTGGTGACGGAGGGCAACCGCGGCGATCTCGACATCTGAGCGCCGCATAGAACCTGAAGCATCGATCGTGAACAGCGCACTGCTGTGTTATCCCTTTCTACCGAATGTTGTTCCTTGGAAGACTGCCCTAGGTTAATGCCCTGATATTAATGAGACGCTCGTCCCGCGAACGGCCGATTGGAGAAAGGAACCATAAGGCCAGAAATGGTCACTTCCATCATCCTCCTATGGTGGGGACACCACAGAGATCTCATGCAAACTCTTGGCATGGAGTTCACGCCAATTCGATTCGGACCCGGTGTCATACCGAGCGGTGACAAGTACGTATCGAGGCGCATGGCGTCACTTCCGAGCAGGGAGGCGAAATATACGGGCGAATCCGCTCGATCGGTCCCCGTAGAGGCGCTCCCTTCCTCACGTTCTCTTATTTGTATTATCTTTATGGCTCGAGTTCCTCATCCCCAGGTCCAAAAAAGAGGAGCTCGCCGGAGGCGGTGGGCATCGATGCTCGCCTTCGTCGTCCGTTCCGTGATTTGCGCTCGTGTGACCTATCTTGGAGCGGTGAGAGGGCCATTTCCTAACGTCTTCCTAGATATCCTCTCATAACCCTCAGCAGAAATTGACTGGAAGCCATTGAGAGTAAGCCGCGACTATGAGACGCCATCGAATAAAGCTCGCGAAAATATACACAACAAAAGAGCCACCCAGATGATACCGGCTGGCAAGAGGCGGAACCCTCTTCTCCGATGTTTATGAAGAAATTCTTTCCGGGTTATAACATGTACAGGAACGTGTTTTAATGGCCCGCCATCATACATGGACATCGAGGCGATCATTCAAAGTTGCAATCGACCGCGGATGGAGGAGGGCCTCAGAAAGAGCTACTTTCGTATCAAATCTCTTGTGATGCACGGGTGAACGACCCGACGTGCGCTGATTGAGATCGGGGCCAGTCGTGATGAATGGTTCCCATGACGAGCTCACGCTGTCTCAGCTAAGTGAGAGATCGTTTATTCCTGAGGCGCAATCTTTATGTTCATGTTTGGAATGCTTCTACAATTGACTTCTCGGAGAGGGAATCACGGGCTCTCTTGTCAATATGGAGAAACAGCGCAGATCGAGTAGCCGATCCCGGGTGGATACATCGCCGGTCGGAGAGGACACAGGCAGCATCAATAATTGTACATATTGTAGGCGCGTTGGAATAGTCGGATTCAACGAGTCCAGGCGTAATGAAGTTCCCTCAGGAAGGGAAGGAAACTGCGGACGAGATCGTCAGCTTGGAGGGGTGAGTTTCGACTGGGATGATTGAATGGAGATATGGAAACGCGAGAATTGATTCGATGCTGAGTCAACGCCTGAGCCTCTTCGAGGAAGTCTAATACCCGGAACACCCTTTTGGAAAATAGACTTCCCGCAACCGAGTTTTTTCGTTTAGATAGAATGAGTATGTATGTAGCACCAATGAATAAATACGGAACCCGCTTCGCACGCAGGAAAGCCGTTCTTGGTGAGCCCAGAATATGGTGTGGGGTGTGGATCCGAGCTTTCGTTTCAGGGCTGAGCCCATTATTCGTCATCATCCGAATCGCTATTCCACGACTCCTATCTCCTCTTCGCTTTTTGGATGCGGTACAAATAATTTTGCCCGGAAAATCGCGAAGGAGCGAAGAGCTCTCAACTCGTCACGATATCGCCCCTACAGGCAGGTCTGGACGGCGAAAACATTTCCCGCGGAATTCAATGCGTACGTAAACATTGAACTCGGATTGTATCATCTGGATTCATTGATCGACGATGTGATAAGCGCGCAATGAGGAAGCTCCTGGGGAGATAGAGGCAAGATGGATGGAAAAATTGAAAGGGTAGTAGAATTTGTTTAGATCTTGATTGTGGTCTTATGTCTCATCGGTGCAGATCAGAGGATCGTCGCCACGAATCACGGGTAATTAATTTAGCTGCAGAGTTAAAGAAAATGTTGGCTTCATTCGTATGAGCTTGACCTTGCCGGAAACCGCCAGATAATGCCAGGAGCGGAGCGAGGTTTGGCGATGCGCGGGAACGACTGCAGACTCGAATAACTCTGAATCTGCATCTTGCGAATGCTTCAGGTCATCTTCTAGACGGACGACATCGGATGGACATCGCATTCGAGGGGTAGGTATGTCGAATTCTAGTTGACGCGCAAATATAACGAATATTGAGGGGGCTCCAGGAATAGCCGAGGGCACTTCAGAGTCCAGAACAGCTGAGCGCAGAAGCTCCACGCCTCCACCAGCTCTGCTTGCGCTCTAATGCGGCAAAGTTGATTACGCGGGGATTCGACAAAGGCACCGAGGAACCTATCCTAAGAATGACTCTGAAGCAGGGTGGATCCCGATACAGAATTGAAAGGTACCTAGATCGGAAAAGATGGATCACTCATCCCCCTCAGTGCGGGAGACTCGCTCTCGCTCTCCGAGAGGATAGGCCCCTCTAGAGGAGCCCTTGACTGTCGAAGTGCGGACCAGGAATAATTCACTGCATGGTCCTCGGCTTCTCCCATCAAAGCGATTTCGAAGCATGCTAATCAGCTCCCGAAAGTCCGACTTCGATTGATGCAGGCGATTGATATGTTCGTTCTTGTCGTTGGTCCTTTCACTCAGAGCTCCGGTGGAAAAGCGAGGAGCCCATCAGAGTCTCGTATAAGAGAGCATCATCAAGGAAGCGTCATGTTGAATCGACAATCTACCACCGCTCCCTCGTAATCAGTGCTGTGTGCTGTCTCCACGACGCGGCGCCATAGACTCAATGCTTAAGCGCCACGCCGCGGCGCTCACGCATTGAGTCTATGGGACAATGCTCAGCGCGGCGCAGAGCTCTGCTTGTAATATGGAAAGCCTGGCGGCTTTAGAGTGTGTTCAGGCTTTGGACAGAGCTCAGGAATAAATTCATCGACGATCGATCTAGATAAAACCATCGAGTAAATCATTTATTGCTGACATCGGACTTATTTTCGGGCGACCCCTCCGGGGGATCGACATGTTTCAACAATCGGAACAGCGCGGCAGCTTCCTTAATCCTGGAGAAGTCTATGCAGAACGCTTGGACTTCGATGAATAGCTCCTGAACATCGATGAGTTTGTTCCGAATCAATGACGACAAGAATACACACACCAGCCGCACATGCCGGTTCTGCACGTATCTGACGAAGAAGATACAAATATTTGACATTCTTGCGTTATAATGCAAGCTGAAGGGGAATAGAACAGGATGGAAGACCAAGTAGCGCACTCACTTGTCTTTCATATTTTCGCAGGTAGCTATGCAATTCGAGACGTATTGATGGATGAACTCGACGGGGAGCTTCGTGGCGGTGGTCAGACGATTGACAACTTCCATGGAATGTAGCGAGAGCTCCATATTGACGAGAGCAGAGTAAAATTCCACTATCTGAGCACTGTCCATCATCAACATTAGAACCTGGAAGGGAAGAACACAATCAGGTCGGCCCCCGCAGAAGTCTTTGCCGATTAGGAACGCAAGGATAATTGTTCGCGCATTAATTCCGTGCTGGCCACCGACTATCTTCCGTTGTCGGCTCGAAAATATGGCACTCACCTCAACTGCCACTGGAGGGTTGTTTTCTACGAGATCGGGCAATCTGCTGGGTGAAAGACCCAACTGGAACACCAAACGTGGTTCTTGCTTGAGATCAGAAATCAGTTGCAGCTGCTGGTTTGGAGTCAGAGCCAACTTCAGGGCCCGAGCCATCATCTTTTTCACCTCTGTCGCTGGCGCGCTTGACGAGCACATCGAGTCATCCCAGAAAGGCTAGAAGCAGAGTGAAAACCCATGATATAGAAGTTTCTGATCCCCTAGAGAAAGTAGTCGATGTCAGGATGTAGAACGCGACGCCTATCACACACCTCGAGTTTCCCGATATATTCTGAGTTCGGATCAATCCACGTCAAAACATCTTCGCCTAAATGTAACGACGGAGCTAATCGATGATAGAGAGGACCGAAGCTCCCCGCGTCGCACGTAAGGATATCTATCGCCGATTCTCGCCGGAGCTCTTCAGAATGAACTCCCGGTTTAGGTGCTGGGACGATACACGACACTCCGATCTTATCGTACGCCGGAAGTTCCGCCAAATGCTCCATGAGTAGTACCTGCAATGATCAGTAGGGCTCGGAATCGATTTCTCGTTGAGCTTGACGGAGTCCCCAGATATGGAGTATTCATCATGTTTTTCTTCCTCTTCCCGTTAGCTCGGATTTTCTCTCACCTGTAGATTACTGGTGTCACATATGGCCGACTCCTCGACAGCTTTGGACAATACCTCCTTTGCGGTGAGCTCCAGCAGCGGCAGTGATTCGGATGGGGCCGCCAATAATTGCGATAAAAACCATCGGGCTTGAGTTGATAGTCTCGCTAAGGATGTTACAATTTCAGGTGGATGTAGCAGCTTTATGAGGAGACTCAGAAATGGGTTTTGCCGGCTGTCGCGTTCTCTGGAAAATGAGCAACACTGATCGTCTGATCTGCGTTCTTCGTACTTTGGACCAAGTGAGGGGTCTTTCATGCGCACCGTCCACGAGAGACTTACACGTCATATATCAAGAAGGCCGCTTTCAGGTGTTGCTCAGGTCCCGTCAAAAGATCACTTTCTTGCAGCAATTGGCACAGAGCGTCGCAAACCTGGGTGATGCCAGAATTAGTCTGACTCAGTACACAGTTCCAGCACTTTACCGGTGACACATTGCTCGGAGATCGGGAGGGACTTGCCCCTCCATCTCGAGGGAAAATGAAGGGTGGGAACCCTCCCGGCGGGAATCCCCGCCTGACTTACTTTGAAGTGGAAGTCCGAATCTGGGAACTCTCGTCGAAATTTTTCGGAAATTTCTTGGAATGTCGATGGCGACTCCAGAAGATCGAGAAGGGTGATGATCTCCGTCGTATTGAGAGATGGAGACATCTACAAGCGAATCAGCAGGATCGGTTTCGCGAGAAATCGTAGAACCTCTGCTTTCCGGAAATTCACCGCAATCAGAAAAATTGCGTGCGCTTTCGAAACCGCAGCGCATCTAGCCACGATTCGCTCTCCGATCGCGCAGGAAGATCCCGCATGACATCTCCCTCGGGGAACAAGACTCCTTCGCGAGATCACTTCACGTATGCAGTATACTCACCTTTACAGTAAATCTTCTTCCCACACGGTGTCCGACTCACAAATTTAAAAACCATCTGACCGACTCTCATTGTCGATTCCGTCGCTTTGAAGCCCCTCTCCTGAGAGAGAGAACACCCAAGGGACAGGCTCGACGGCAGAGGGGCACGGAGGAGATGTCCGACTCCCAAGCCGTCGGAGTATGAGTGTCTCATCAGAAAAGCGGGGATCACCGACTCCAGGTCGTGAATATGCTCTCATCGATCGCAGTCGTGGGAGGAAAAACGTCAGAATTTCGCCGGAGACCCCGTGGTCCGTCGATTAAGCCTTTATGCCGCAGTCGAGTCTCACTTATGTCAGTCGGACTCTGTTTGAGTCGCGCCGGACGACGGACCGGCCGACGGCACTCCAGTTGACCGGCATTTTGCTTTTCTTGGCATTCCATTCATTGATTGTTATCGCTGTCGCCATTCTCCGCCGAATGGTTAATCCTAGGCCTCGAGCCCCATTGTTTTCGGGCCGGCGCCCCCCCAGGTACGGATGACTGAACGTTCGAGTTCCCCTGGGGGTTGCTATATGCCTTCAATCCCCTCACACTCATCGGAGAAAACTCTGCGGAGCAGGGTATGGGGTTGTGATTTGAGTGTAACCAATTCTAATTACCGAGCCACCGGGCGGATCTCATACTGCATCATACCGGCGAAAATTTCGGAGTCGACAGAGATGAGGCGTGAAAAAATCGCCCCTGACAGATTTCGGGAGAAGGGCCGGGGCGGGCCGAATGCTCTGAATTTAAATTCGAACTTCTGGCAATAAACATGCTTTCATTATTCTTTCACGACAGGCAATGGATCGAAGTTCCGAACCGCATGCTCGTTCGAAGGTCCGCCCGATACGACTCCTCCGTGTGTCGAGTTCTGAGAACCATATGACCGAATGTTATTGTTGAGTCCGCCGTTTAAGCAGCTCTCCCCCGAGAGAAGAGGGGACTGACGGGCGATTCCCGGCCTCGAGTGATGCAGGGTAGCCCCATGATCCCATCCGGGAGTATGTATCAAGATCAACCGAATCTGAGCCATCGTTTCCCGAGAATGACAACGCTCTCAAGTTTTCTATTCACGGGAAGAACACCCGGTCGGCGGTTTCCCGCAGACTCTCCTATCCGTCGAATAAGTCACAACGCCACAGTTGTGTCTCAGTGCTGACGTCGACCGACCGACGGACCGACGGCGCTCTGGCTGGCTGGCAGTCGGCCGCTATGCAGTCACAGTGACCACTAACTCGTAGAGTGCTGCCAAGCTCCGAGGACACCGGCCGAGCATCCGTGTGCAATGCTGTGATCTCGATGTGAATCTCTAGCCATCCTCACGCTTTTCTGGCTTCGTCAGGGATCGTTCTGGATCCTCGCGGAGAAAATGCTGGGTCTCCGTGTTCTCCGACTACACACTTGTCGGGTGATAATACTTACCTCTCTTGTTTGGTTTCTAATTGCCACCGTGTTCTTCATGTACCGTAGTGAATGTCGGGGTTCGGAGTGTCTTGAAAAACTGCCCAAGTTCGCGGCTGTGCAGCGGAAGCTACACGAACCATCGGACCGTTTCGTCAAATGGACTCCGGTTCGTGTTGTGAAGAACCCGACGTTCTGGCCCGGCGAGAACGGTGAAGGTGTCGAAATTCCCGAGAAAGAAACTGCCCTGAAAAACGAAAAGTTCAAAATCAATCAGTTCAACCTGCTTGCGTCCGAACGCATTGCACTCAACAGGTCTCTACCTGACGTCCGGCTAGCTGAATGCCGGAAAAAAACCTATCCGGATCGTCTACCGACAACATCAATTGTCATCGTGTTTCACAATGAAGCCTGGACTACCCTACTCCGGACTGTGCATTCAATAATACAAATGTCTCCGCGCGAACTCATCGCCGAAATCATTCTCGTCGACGACGCTTCCGAGTTCGACCATCTGGGCCAAAAACTTGAGGACTACGTGGCTAAGCTGCCGGTACCCGTGCACGTTTTGAGAACAGGAAAACGTTCGGGCTTAATTCGAGCTCGTCTAATCGGTGCCGAAACCGTCACCGGTCAAGTGATTACGTTCCTCGATGCTCACTGCGAATGCACCGAAGGATGGCTCGAGCCGCTTCTGGCGCGAATCGCCGAAGACAATACTCGAGTCGTGTGTCCGGTCATCGACGTAATTTCCGACGAGAACTTCGCGTACGTGCCGGCCTCCGACCAGACGTGGGGCGGCTTCAATTGGAAATTGAACTTCCGTTGGTACCGAGTGCCCCAACGTGAGAACGACCGTCGCGGGGGAGACCGGACGTTGCCGGTGAGAACTCCCACCATGGCGGGTGGGCTTTTTGCCATGGACAAAGCCTACTTCGAGAAGTTGGGAAAGTACGACGAAGGAATGGACATTTGGGGTGGTGAGAACCTCGAGATGTCGTTCCGGATCTGGATGTGCGGGGGCACTCTCGAGATAGTTACCTGTTCACACGTGGGGCACGTTTTTAGAAAGAGCACACCGTACACGTTCCCTGGAGGAACCGGGAAAATCGTCAATCATAATAACGCTCGACTTGCCGATGTGTGGCTGGACGAGTGGAAAGATTTTTATTTTGCTATAAATCCGGTGGCGAAAAAAGTTGACCGTGGAGACACTTCGGGTCGCCACAAGCTGAGACAAGATCTTCAGTGCAAGAGTTTCCGCTGGTATCTCGAGAATATATATCCTGAATCTCACATGCCGCTCGACTACTATCATCTGGGCGAGATCAAAAACGCGGACGGCAATTTATGCCTCGACACCTACGGCAAGAAGAGCGGGGACGTTCTCTACATGGGCAAATGTCACGGACTCGGAGGCAACCAGGTGTTTGCATATACGAAACGACAGCAGATCATGGCAGACGATTCTTGTCTCGACGCGTCATCGCCGTCAGGCCCCGTGAAACTGTTCAGGTGCCACAACATGGGCGGAAATCAGATGTGGACCTACGACGGAAACACGAAACAGATCAGACACATCAATACGAATAGGTGCTTAGACAAGCCAAACGCGAATAGATCTAACGTAGCTACACTAAAAGAATGCAACTCAGGCAAAGAGAGTCAGAAGTGGGAGATGGCAGCGAAATTCAAATGGCAGGTTTCTGATCATCGGTGACCACCGCCGCAATAGTTCCCCTCAGGGATCAAAAACCTATCGCAAGAGTCGATGACCAAATGTTGTTTGTGTTTATATTTTATTTATGAATAAATAGATGGAAAATAGTGTATTGGATGCGCGTGGACAAACTGAACGAAAGCCGAACCAAGACGTGTGAGTTATAAGTAGTAGTACGATTATGGACGCAAGCCAACAACGGGAATGGACGCCTTTTGTAAAAAGTTCGATGAGAAAATCATGTGAGTGATATGCGAAGATGGTACATATGAGAAGAGAAAGTGTTTTTTGAAAGAAAACATAAATATTGGTGTTCTTATTTCGATGAGATTAGCGTAAAAAACTTCATTCGCGCAGCACCGTCATCTTGGCCTTTCCGTAGGCAGCTCGTGTTACCGATCTCAGCAGTTCATTCAGTGATTAGGGGAGCTCATGGAGAAGCCGTGCTCTGAAGTCAGATCGCCTACTTTTTCCTCATCACGGAGCTTTTTATTCGTTTTCACAGCTTGTCGTAGTAAGCAGTTGGTCGAGGTTAAGGGGAGGACATGTGGTCAATGCAGAGGCCACATTTGGAGACCTTGCGAACGAGGGAGACTTTTTGCTTGAATTCCAGCTGCGACATTCGATAGACGATCTGGGAGCCTCAAATTGAATGACGGCTCGACGGCGAGCCTGGACGGAGCGAAAAACGCTCTCACCTCTGCTTCCTTTCTCCTCGGTGGTGATCCCCCTGCCGATCCTTCTCTACCCTGATGGAATCTCAGATGATCGCTCATTTAAGATTAAGTTTCGGTCAAACATTGTCTACATTAGAAGAACAATGGATGACCCTCGATAGAATGAGTGAACGTTGATTCGCACGGATCGCTGATCTTCTAGTTGGATAATGGAATGCGTCTGAACGTTCAAAATTCTTCTACGGAAGCTCGAGTTTACGTTCGCTCCTTCGCGTGTGAGGTGTCGTTTCTGCGGTGGTTAACGGGAGACACCCTCGCCGCCACCAACAGGCCGCCGGTTCCTGCTGAGCTGGCGACTCAGCCGGTCGCGGTAGTCGGCAGCATAGCATTCCGTATTGTCCGACGGCTTGAATCGGCTTTCAGAGCGGAACGGAACGTGGATTCGCATAGAAAGAAATTCGTCTTTTTCGGCGGTCGCGTAGCGAACGTGATGACAGACGAGCTGACTGACCGGCCAGAAGTCAAACTATAGCGACAGTTCAAGCCGTGCCATTGAGTGCTTGTCCGTCGGGACAGTTGACTGCGGTTGGAGCAACCACTACCTGAGATCGGGAACCGCTCAGTGACGACACGGCAGCGCGGCACAAGACTGAAGAGCACACGTGTCAGGAAGAGGAAGGAAGACGAATCGTCGAACCCTTGGCTGCCAGCTCTCCATGACTCAAGCATACATTCCCCAGATTGATTCTCTGATTCGGATAATGAGAATTATCTCGTCATTCGGCTAATCATCGGTCCCATACTCCGCCCGTTATGGACCCGCATGGCGAATAACCGTAGATTCAGAAAAGTAGCTCGAGCGGCGAAGTCGTTCCCGCGCACGGTTTTCGGATGTTGTGCCCTTGAAACAGATCCGACAGCGCTACGGTGATGAACGACAATCAGAGATGGGAGGCAGCTCATAGGTGACGCGACAGTTTCCTGATGTGTGTTCTTGAGTCTCTTCGAGCGCGTTTGTCGCTCTTCTCCCGATAAGGACGATTTACGACATTATTGTAAACGACGACGTCCTGTTGACAGTTGTCAGCCATACTTTACCATCAGCGAAAGTTGCGAGCATACTCATCCGAATTGAGCGGAATTGAGAACTTCAATGACCTTCGGTTCGAACCAATGAGCGGAGGAAGGTGAACTTGACGATATGGGAGCTCTCAGGAGTCGTGCGCCGTGCTCCGAGGATTGTTTTCAATCCTGTACCAGAGAGATATCTGGTTCTATGTAGCATTAGAGGAGAATCCAACACATCCTCTGGAAGCAGCTCTGATCGCTCTCATCTTGACATCGATAGCTGAGAGGACTTGCGTTGACTGACCAGTGTGTGTAAAGATCTGGAAATTCAGAAAAAAATGCAACTACAATGGGCGGCTAAGACTTGCTGCACCAACAAGTAGCCGATGGAACGTTCTCTCCGATTGACCCGGTGGAAAAAGGGGAACCGGTGAGCTGCTCAAACAGAATAATTCTGGGCAGCGAGGCTCCTAATTGAACATTTTGGAGCTGGAATCGCGGATATCCCGCATGACTCAATGTGGTACGCGGATCCCCAGAAACGTTCATAACAATCATCGCCGCCGCCCCGACGAGTGGAATCAAAGGATGAAACGCTTTTTGTTTGTGGAGCAACTGCTTTGTTCCGCTCCCATGATGGTGCGGCTGCGACGAGGTCGCTGTTGCTGCTCCTCGTAGTCTCTGCAACAGTAGGAGTCGCGGTAGTGGTCGTCGCCGCCGCCAACGCCACCACCGTCGTCGTAGTGGTCGTTGTCGTTATCGGCGCGAATACTAACAGAACTTCCAGCCCGGATCCTGGCGCTCTCATAGCACAGCATTCCTGGAGCATGCCACCGACGGAGTTTGACAGCATCGGCTAGCTGTAGAAATCGGCGCGTCGACTCATGTAGCGTGAGGCCTACAGTCCGATTTTCATCGCACGATGTTGACGTCAAACGCGGTGCATTGTGTCAGAGTGAAATAAATCCGGACGAAAACATTGTGCGAAGCTTCTGAATCGCCTGGTTTTCATCCAGGCAGAGCGAGGCGAATGAAACTCACGCTCCGAAACTCAGTTTCCCTGACTTCACACTGGTGGGCTTATCGGCCTGCAAACAAAGTTACACATGCCGCTCGCGAAGGAGGAGAGAGGGAAAGATTGCTCTCCCCTAGCTTACTTAGTCGACCAGATCAAGAACAAAGGGTACGACAGTTTCCGGTAAGAGATGACATCAGGGATCACCGAAATTGTCTTCGACAAACACCGAAATTGTGCTCAAGAGGAGGTACCGGCTTCCCTGATCCAAGCGATACAGATTCCCCAAATTAGCCGCTTCACGGAAACCGTTGAACGCCGAAACTCTATCGGATGCAAACGTGTCGGACCGGACGCTGACATATGAAATAAGAATACGTTTACGGTCGGTCCCGTTTATAAGAGATATGCTTTTCAGAGAATCGCACATATAGGAGACCCATGAAATTCACCAGTTTTCGAGGCATTAGACTCCCATGCTGAAGGATTCGCCTAAAAGAGACTCGCTTATCAGAGAAAATCGCTCAAAAGAGGGTCGACGCCCGCAACATCCAGCCTTCCCTTAGCTCAGAGGAGATCGAGGCTCATCTTGAAATGCCGTTCTCTCCTCCGGGAGATCGTTGTGGCGAAACCAGAACGACGAAGGGAACGTTAAATGCACGTTCTTCGACGAAAGCGAATCTGGCTCTTATGTTTCGGGTCGGTCGCGTGATTCCGCGTTCGACCCCATGGCGCTCCGATGACAGTGGTCGGAATGTCGCGCGAAACACTCTCCACGCTTGAAAAGGTTTCGGTGTTCGACTTTTTGAAATCGAAACCATTGACAGTACCGTCAAAGAGTTGGGCATCGGAAAGTCGGCGACCCCCCGCATCCCCGATTAGCGTTTCCCCGAATATTCGCCCGCTTATTTTGCGGCGTCTCCCGGAGGCTGTCTCCTCGGACAAACTCCGGGAGAAATAAGCTCCTGAGAGAGGGCATATCTTGCAAAGTCGAACGAACGTCTCGAGCTGGGAGTCTCCATCGCGGAAAATCTTCTGTATAGCCTCAGAGAGGATCTTGATCTTCAGGGCTACGAACCTCGATGCTTCGTCCCAGAATTTCATGGGAAACTCGACTTATCATTTCTACTCTGCTAATGGCCCATTTTCGAGCACTTGGTGCACCGGATTTCTCCATCCGTGAAGTGAATGTTTTTGTGTTCGAGCTTGTTATGAGTTGAAGGCATATATGGAAGTCTCTCTCGAACGTCCTCGAAAGCTCTATCTCAGAGACTCGGGAGAAGATTTTCCAGCCATTGTATCACCTTGAAAACTACTTGTTCGAAGTGGAGCGAAGTAAGGACGAAACATTATATATACTGTAGCTGTATACGGAGGAGGGAGAACGGTTTTTCGGATAGGTCGATTCTGCTCAAAACGCCCGACCTCATTGTGAAGAAGCAGAGTGGAACCCATCTTCACGAGCCAGACCACGGCGACATGATCCGTCGCGCAGTTTCCTCGAGACTGGAAGCAGCCGTCATGGAGAAAGCTGCTTGCGGTGTCAAAGAGTGGTATTCTGAAGCTCTCGTGACCTGTGGAGGCGAGATGCGACCAACAAGAAGATGTTGGTGCGTCGCTGCCAACTTATCGCTCGATCCAAGCGTCTCTCTACAGAGCCCGAGAGAGTATCCGGCCGCCTCTGCCGCAGTCGAGAACTGAAATCATCATCGACGGAGAATGGGCCAGAACTCTTGGAAACGACACGTCCTTGCTCTTGGACGATGGCGCAGAGAATCGAATCATAGGCTCCTCTACCGACGAGGTGGTCAAAATCCTCTGCGGAGTGCCGTCGGTTTTCATGGATAGAACACTTCGGGTGGTCCCCCACCTGCTCCACGCTGAATGGATTTTATAAGGGCGAGATGGTACCTTCCGCTTACTTTCTCTTGCCCGACAAGACCAAAGGGACATACCGTCGCATGTTCGTTCCCTTGAAAAATCGAGCGAATGCGGTCGGAGCGACCTTCTCCCCCTCATTATTCCAAGTCGATTTCGAACAAGGCTGTCCTGAAAGCCATCGAGGACGAGTTCCCTTTGACGGATAAGAAGGGGTATCATTTCCACTTCGCGCAGAGTATCTGACGAAAAGTTCAACAGCTCGAACTGGCTCCTCATTACGGAGAGCCCGGCGTCACGCGACTTGTCCGGTCGTGCACGGCACTTGGGTTAGTACCCCTCGACCGAATCGACGCCTTCGGCTCGAGATCGATGCCGAATCGCCAAGCGCGGAGCATCGAAGGCTGGCATCAAGGCTTTAATCGAATCGTCCGGAAAAGTCATGTCGAAAACGGGATAGAGAACGAGAATCTCGGGAGATCTTGCTCTTCACGGATAACGCCACTCATCATAAATTGGAAGCAACTGTCACTCTGGAGAACTGCCCAGTTAGCTGTCAGGGGTATGCAGATCGAATGAATGTCTTCAAAACTTGTGACTTCATATGAGAATCGTCTCTGCAGAATATGGATGGATTCACGCTCCCACATACAAGAGAAACTCGCCGAAAGTAGACTTTTTTCGATTTTCCGAGGTGTCTCTTATAAGCGGGTCCGACTGTATATACCCAGGCAGCGGCAACACGCGATTCTGAGCGAGCTGTGCAGAGGAGCCTCGCTACCCGATAATCGCCTCTTTTCTAGAAAGTTTGAAGAGTAGAGCCCTTCCGGGTTAACGTTCAAAAAGTCGACAAAATATCTTTGTCCAGAAGTCATCACGCGGAAGGATGCTCTTCCGACTTGTGTAAGCCTTTTGAAAGTGATGGTTGAGCAGTTTCTGCCGGCTCGATCGGCCAATGCGACCTTCATCTGCGATTGCGGTGAAGACGGTGGTGATGTCACTTGCCGCTCAAGGGGGAAGCGATGACGGGGAACTCATCGGCGAATTATCGTTGGGTGCTTCCGCATCAATGAGAACATGCTCATTCTGGTAGATACCTCTCCGGCGAGATCGCGCGAGCGGCCTCGACTAACGGCCGCTCATAGCGGCAGCTTGAGGTGCGAGGATCGAGTCATATATCGCAGGGTTTCCTGACGGAGTAGATTTTGTGAGGAATTCCAGCTTCTTAAGCCAGGACGTCAGGAGTTCATTCGTAGTCTGTGGCTTGACAGCGGTGCGGGACCCGTCAAGTTGGCGGAAAAATTCGTTTTCCGAGGATACGGGCCGTAAGATCCGGGAGACAGTCTCGGCGGCAACCTGAGGCAGCAGAAATCAGATCTGACCGCAGAAGCTAATATTATTCGACTCCGATCCTGCGCCAGAGAGATTCAAGATATCCTCCACCACGACTTGTCGTGTTCTGACCGGAGCCCCGAAGAGCCCATAAAACGGAAGTTGTACAATAAATAAAGTTACGATACATGCAGATTATCTTGTAGGATGTCGAGGCACGATTTCCGCCTTCCCGATCAGGATAGAAAAATAGACATTCATGTTCGCGAGCTCCCAAGAAGTCCTCACCATAAAATACTATTTCCGAAGAAAAATTAATCAATATCGGGCGCGACCGGGAATCGAGGGATACGGAATCTCCGATTGACGGATCAAACAGACGCCAATCTGCGGATCGGGTAAACGAGAGCGTTCGCCCAGACGGTTGGCTGTCGTGTTTGAGAGTATTCACTGACAGTTCGCTCAAGTTGATGATCCGCAAGACCAACAGTCTCCTACGCATAGGCCTAAAATCTCGTTTCACCAGCAGGACGTTGCCGATCCTAGACCCCTTGGAGAGACTTCCGGGATACCGAACTCGTTCGGAAGAGCATTCTAGATTTTCCATGTCACGAGTCGCACGCCGAAAGCTCGGGAAACAGTCAGTCGATTCAGCGTTACGGCCGGGCTCACAATAACGCCGACGGGAATTTCGAAAATCCCGCGGAAGCGTCTTTCCACTTTCCCTTCCCTATCATATGTTTACCTGTCAGCTGCTTGTCGGAGAGAGGAATTACCACCATATGACTCCGGTTGGGGAACCGAAATCCCGAGAAGTTGACCATGAAGTCGCCGGAGCGATGTTCCTGAATCCTCCTTAGATTCACCGTCGCTCGATTCAGCTCGAGGAAGGACAATGTCGAATCTCTCTATTAAGGTTAGAGGAACACAAGATTATAGGAGGATTGACATGGCTCCTCAATGCTTCAAAGACACCACCTGTTATGCCGAGCAGGAAGGAAATCGTTGCTGTTCTTAGAACACCAACATTGAAAATGACTGCCTAGATCGGACATTCATGCCATCCGTTGACTCCCAAGGATATCATTGGGCGAGCTCGAAATAATCTCCAGAGCGAATTGTCATTCTCCGCCAAAATTACCCCTACGTGTTTCTCTCCACAGTGTGTCGCTTGCGTGGGAGTGACAGCCGTGCTCGTCTCTGTCTGGGGACAGAGCAGCAATGTCCTCTGTGTGTTGATGTATATTACGGCAGCCACTTGTGGAGCTGTGGCCGGTGCTATGGCTGCTCTGGGCTCGGACGACAGACGGAAGGTGGGCAATATTCTGGGGCATTTAGAATCCACCCGAGGAAACAATTCGAATCCTCGGCCTTAATCTTCATAACTGTTCCTTCATTTTCTGCATCTATCTGGATTTCAGGCCGCTTATCACGAGTTGATAAAAAATCCCAAAGTCGTTGAGTTGTTCGAAGAGAAATTGCGAGAGTCCAGGTCGCAGGAGACAGGCCAGAGTCGGCATAGACAGATGGTTTTCTCTCGCAATGCTGATGCGAAACTCCAAGAAATCGTTGATCTCATCCTGAGGGACTTCGTCACTCCGTGGTACTCTTTCCTCGTACCCGAGTACCACCAGAATTTCACGCTCTTGCTCCGGGACGAGATCAAGCTCGTGATGGTCAAAGTGAAAGGTGGGGTTGTCAAGATGCTGTTGGAGCGCAATTTGGCCCCGGGAGAGAATGTCTAATCTGCAGAAGTTGTATCGAGATTTGATCAATCCTCCATTGCCAGACTTCGTACAGAGATAATACAGAAGTCCTATCGATTTTCAGAGCGATACCAGAAAATGAACGAGAATACTCTGATCTCTCAAGATCTTGTCAGAGTTGTAGAGAACCACCTTCGGAAAATACGGCTCGGTGTTACAGAGCGACAAGCGTACTCCCTGCAAGGATTTCTCATTTCTCCGGAGGAAGAAATGGAGCACATTCGGGTCATCAGTGATTTCCTCCTGACTATTCTTCTGCCGTCGAGTTACGCGCTCTGCGTTCCTCTACGATGTCTCCTGAAGGAAATTCTCACCTGCCAGGGTACGTTGTGCCCCTCCTTCGTGATGCGCCGATTTTTCAGGATATGCACTGTGGGGTTCAGTTTTGCTTGATCCGACATGAATCTTCCTGTTCCACTTCCTGATTGAGGCACCGAACGATCGAAACTATTCATTGCAGTTCTTTATCCAACGATCGATATGTTGTGCTCGCCTGATTATATCAATTTGAAGCTGGTGTCTTATCTGAAATGGGTGCAGGAAGAGAAGGAGCGCCACAGGCGAACATACGAAATGACAGAAACTTTCGAAGACTTCGTATTCATTATCGATACGTGTACTGATATCGAGGATCTCAAGCTGCTCCGGTATAAAATTGTGGTTGAAATCATGCACGCGACGACATTGAACAATATCAAAAAACAAAAAGGATTGAGCACAGACAAATCGATCGAGCCTCCAACGCTTTCCAAGGGAGATCTCCTGCTTAGTAGGAACTTGCCCAAGTATATTCGACAGGTGAGTTCCTCCTAGAGTCCCGACTTGGGGAAGCGGTCTGATGTCGAAGCAGAAGGAATTTCTGGCGGAGCTCTCCGCACCTCGATATGATTCCCAAATAATATTCCCGATTAATTGGGATTTCCCTTCCCATTGCAGTTACAATTCGCCAAAGGAATGTGCGAGAAGAAGCTGAAGTCGATCGGGGGTCCCGATTACATAGGGGGATCGGAGCATGATCCTGCGATCTTCCGAAAAGTTCTCGCGTTCAAAGTCATCATGGAGAGTGATCTGGCGCGCGAATACCTGAAACAATTCTTCGAGAAAGAAACAAATGAAGAAGGGAGGAATCTGTTGAGGTAGGTCAACTCTTCTCATCGATCATTGGAGTTCCTCTCGAATATGCCATCGGAACGAATGAAAAATTCCAATCGAATTGTAAGGCCCACGAACATGCGACACTTTGGAGGGACCTCAGCTCCCCTAGTTGCGTGTTCCGTCACGGTATTGAGCGGCTCTGCTCACAGGGATTCTGCTCCTCTCGGCGTCCATGGCGTGCAATCTTCCCATGGACTCGTACATTACAGTTTCTGGTGTGATGTGCATCATATGATGATGGCGGCAAAAGACGAATGGCATCAACTGGGCAACGAGATTTACACTACATACATTAAGAAGCAACATGCCGGCATACGGCTCAACAAACAAATTCTTAAGGTGAGGGGAGGAGCCTGAATTTCTGGGTAAATTTTCCTGCTGGAAGCTGAATTCCGTTCTCCGATCCGCGTGTTGTTCCAGGATATCGAGGCCTTCATCATGGCCAATAAGGGTCCTGATGGTTTTTTGGAGGCGCAGAAAGAATGCTACCGACTCCTCGAAGACAAACACTATCACTCGTTCCTGACATCAGATAGTTATCATCAACTAATCGTAGAGTCGAAGAAGCTCGATATAAGCTTTGGTCGGGAGAAAACTGGTGAGTGGCCGAATCGACGGCCATTTTGCACCGCCTCATAGCGGGCAAAACCACGTATCGGAGCATTCCGGGTATTCAGCTCGATTTTTTCCTCACGCAAACCTAGGTGACACGGGCGAATCATCACTTAGCGGAAGTGAATCGTCGCTGAACCAGACGATCTCTTTAGCCGATTCCTGCAATCTAGCGAAATTTCGTATTCATCATCTCGAAGCTCGCCTCAGCGATAAACTTAAGGCGCTCTCTGCGCTGAGAGCATCATTGAACTCCGACCCGAAGGTGAGATTTTTTTTCATCGGGTTTTGATGGATTGCAGTTCGGTCGAAGTCCGACTCACGTGTTTGACTCGTGTTCAACCGCAGATGATCGCGGCACTAGAGAAAGAAACCACTGATCTGAGAAACGAATGCGGCATCCTGTCGAAGTACATGGAGCGCACCGATATCTGGACGGAAAATGTCGGCTGTTGGATCGCCAGAGTAGAAAGCGCTCAACTCGATCGAGACATGCCAAGGTGAGCCGCGACGGGTCTTCCCCCAATATCATCGGAAGCCGAATCGTGCTGAGAGGAAATCCTCCTGCGACACCCTTCTCCTCCAGGTTCACAATCATGATCACTGTTTCCGAGCAACAGGATTCAGGCTATGTGGTCAACAAATGTATCACTGATTTCCATCAGCTTCTACAAAGTATCCTCCCGGTAGGTGCAACAGAAGACTAATCGGAGCCAATCTTTGGGGCACAGATGTCTATCGGCCCGTCGAAGATCTGTTTTCTAATAATTGACTTATTGTCGTTATCGTATCGACGGATCCTTCGCAGATTGCTCCTGCCCTGAAGAGACGCGTCACCTTGCCGTCGATTCCGTCGAAAATGCGCTTGAAGGCTTTCGACGCCGCTTACCTTGCCAGAGCAAAAACTACTCTGCAACAATTTTTGGACATTGTACTGAGGGACTATGATCTGTGTAACTGTGAAGCCGTGTACTCATTTTTCAACGAAATTCCGCCATCTCTACTCCAGCCCCAAAAGCAGAACGAGGACGGCGTTCTTAGAAAAACACTCAATTTTCTCCCATCCTTCTTCAAAAGTGAGCTCACGGAGTGAAGGGTGATCGAAAACAGTGCGGTGGTTCGAGTACATGCAGCGGATGCGAGACCCCAAGAACTTGACGTTTGCATTCTCCCTCAGACGAAAAGACCGGGGAAGCGCCGTGGGAAGATGAAGACGATCTTTTCCTCGAACTCGACTCCGATCTGAACGCGGACGTTGTGGACTCGATCGCCGAACCACTCTACAGCCTCCTGGCTGAGATGTTCGAGCTGCAGGGCGGCAATCCCGTCAATTGGCTCCGGAGGACGTTGATCATGTTTGTGCAGATCTCCTTCGGTAAAACAATCAATAGGTTTGTATTTGAAGTTCCTTCCTTTTCTTCCCCTGATCCATGGGCGGCTCCGACGTTCGATGCATACCCCGTCTCTCTGGAAAATTCCTCCTGTCCTGTGATCCGTGAAAACAAGATACCTCGAAAAACGGTCAATTCCGTATCGAAAGTTAAGGAAGTGAATTGCCCTGACGCTGGGAATGCTCAGACGGCACAATCATCCGCTCTTTAAGCATCGCCGGTTTTTGTCCACACCGAATGCGGGTAAACCAGATTCGCTGAGCCGCGGGTCTTTCGGCGGCTGGCTTTCGGATGTGTTCAGGACCGTGTTGATGTCACCACCAAGTACTACTGTTCATGCGAGCCGTTGATATGTTCCAATTAATAGCGCTAGAATCTATGTGATTATACGGCGCAGACACTTCCGATAAGGTCACACCGCAGCCATCGATGCCCAGAGGCGATTCGCTCCGTCTGCATACCTCGATTGGTGTTCGTCGGCTAGCATTGTTTGCGCAGCAGCTCGCTGCTCCTAGTTTGATTCAGATAACGGGATCCTACTCCAAATGATGGCCACTTTGACAATCGTCTTTTTTCTTGTAGTCGGTCCATCGGGCGATCCGACTCGTCTCGACTTCCTGGGACGTTCAAGAATTCGGCGGCCCATACACGTCTCATTATTTGTGGGCATATTAGCGACGTGTGTTATCGTGTTATCGTTTGTTGACACCGAAGCTAGGTCGGACAGACGACGCAGCCCTTCAGATCAATCAAAACATGCGTCTCGCTAGTTCTGTCACGCGGTCCGGTAGAGCACGTAGCGGGCAAGACAATCCCGACCGGTTCGCCAGAAACCAGAATTTTCGGAAGTTTCCGTGGGGGATTGAGACGGGGCCATGTGCGTGATTGGCGACGTATGGTATTATTGATAGGTTCGGAAAAAGTCTCCGAGCGGGAAGGAACTGACTGAGATATCCAATCAGATGACACACATCGGTGCCGCGCTTGACTCGCGGTTATAAACCCTCACGATATCTCAACGAGGCATCGATTAACCGCGGAAGTGATATACATACGCAGAATCGAACGGGGTTTCTGTTCTCATTTAGCGGTTCTGAATTGAAGGCAAACAGTTATTCCACTGGAAACGAGCTATTCATGGTTGTGCTCCTCGACCCTCCGGCTCGCAAGAAAGTCCCTCTTCGAGCGCGTCCTTCTCTTATCGAAAGCGAGTGAGCCGTGACTTATTTTTCACAGACAAGTCCTCGAGGGCATATCGTGGATGATGTCAGAGTCCATGTTCATTTATTACATGGGACTGTTCAGAGATGCCCTATGGCCCGACGGGGTCCTCTACACCAGGACCGAAAATCGCACGTCCCAGGTGAGTCCGCGGAACATTACCTACCTGCCTCGGGAAATTCAATCCAGCGAAAAATACCCCGTTTGCCATGAGGTTCTGTAAGAATCTCTGATATTCGCTTCCAGGACATGGCGAAAACGAAACAAGAAGCCCGTATGCTCCTCCTCAATCATGTTCCCGAAATGTTCAACTTCGTCGGCAACCAGAACGCTTGCAAAGGAACACTTAAAGTCTTCGATTCGCTGCAGGATAAGCAGCTGAATAAGCAGCTGTTCTATGAGATGTTGGAGAAGGTCCTCTACGAGTTCGCGCCTGAGCTACGTCTGGAGTGACCCTCTGGATCACAAACCTTCCAAATGAGAGCCCTAGGTACTCTTACGGCGGCGAATGATGAGGCGGCTTTGTGCTGTTCGCGAGATTCTCCCCTCTGTTGAGTTGAGCAATTTCATGAGAGTAGATAGATCGAGAGCCCGCACTCGATCAGCATTTGCACCGGTGACCCTTCACAAGAATGACATAGCCAGGGTCCACGCACGTTTTCGGAGCGCACTCCTACCGCGAAGGAGTTCACCCTGTTTCTCCGATTGGAATTGTGAAGCTGATGATGTTTACGGCGATGATGATGTTACATTAAAGATGTCGCGTTAGATCCCTCTGATCCCTCGGTCTGCTCTGAATTCGCGTTTGGTCCATTCGATTATATGTTGTGATTTAGAAAAAGTTTTGGAAGATGGATACAGAGCGAAGAGAATGCACGATCATGTTTTGTTGGAGCATCCTCATGAAATACGAGTCTAGAAAATCTGAGGAATTGCGATAAAGGAAGAAATTCATGCAGAGAAATATATTGTGGAATTGTACGGTGTGGATCTCTTTTCGAAAGAATGAAACTTCCGAGCTCTCGCTCGCATCGGCATCGCCGAAGTCATTTTACTTTGAGCGGCTAATTGTATAGGAGAATTAAAAAGATCCGCTCGAACTTCGTTGAGCGAGCGCTTAGCGGAGTGCGCCGGCAGGCTGAAGATACGACAAGGACACTTCTGCTGGCGAAACCCTCTCCCCGACGAAGTCCCCTTCCGAAACACTTCTTTCCCCGGTGGGGCCGTTGCTCGTTCGACAGAATCGCTGAAGTGCGTCTAGCGGCAGGATCCCATTTTACCAAAATCATTGTTGAGCTGTGTTGATCAAGTTCAAGTGCGCCACTGGCTGGCGGTATAAAGCAGACGATGGGGATCTTACGATCTCAGGATTCGGTGCTCGTAGGATTACTTTTAGTACTGTGTGCAGTACGAGTTTTCAGTCATGTGGCGCTCACGTTCCCTCAGGCGAGAAACTACGACCTCGACTTCTTGGATAACGGCCGTACCAAAGCTCCTTGTGGAATGCCTAAAGGTATGTTCAGCCTCAGCCGTGGGACTTAATTGTATCGCATTCTCGCGATGATTAGATTGCCATAGAGCCGCGTCATTGATTGGCGCATTCTGATGCGCGCCGAAAGCGTCGAGGGCTCGTTTGGGAACTGAGCGAGCTGCGAGCCCGCCCGCCTTCTATTCCCTTCTATTTCGATCAGCCCAGTCCATTCGAGGGGCCGGTCTCCCCCGAGAAGATGACGAGTTCCTCGATTCCGAGGCTTGTCGGAGTTGTCGCCACAGTTCATTCACCTTGTGCGAGCTTTCGACAAAAAAGAAAAACACACGACAACTTCTCAGTTCCGAAAGTGCTTTGGAATTCTGAAATTCTCACTCTCGCACGGTCCCGTCAACGCTCCGAAGGGCACCGGTGCACCGACACGGTGTCTTCTCGATCGAACAACACGACTCCTGGCGGAGAGCTCGATTGAGCTATGCATCGATGTAATGATTTCCTGCGTCTATCGAGCTCCCAGACCTCTCGTCCCAGACCTCTCATCGGACTAGAAGTTCGTCGAAGCAGTGTTACGCAATTTCAAAGAATTAATGGATCGCGACTCGATAACGATTCTTCCTCACTTTTCCGAACAAGCATTCGATCAAAAAATACTACTCACTCGCATCCTTATCGATCAGAAAAAAGTGATAAGCCGCAGAAATATTCTTGTGACCAAAACGTACCAAGCGTATTCTGCGCTGACTGACGTAACTTTCGCAACGGGGGCGTCTGTATTTGATCCGCCGCTGCTGCTGTTGTCGTCTCCGTGGGATGAATCCGCTGCGACAAGTCGATGACTTTTACTTTGTGAGGTCTTGAATATGAATACAATGAAATGTGTATGAATGGGATCCGCGTATTGCTTCATTGGTCCTGATGACTACACTGGAATCCGAGAGTTTCTTGATCGCGGCCGCTGTTGGAACTCGAAACGTTGTCGCTGAAACTGGCCTGTATTCGTGCTGTACAGCCGATGAGTCAACGCGAGGTTCTCCCTCATCGTTTCGCCCGGTCCCGCTCTACAAGGAGGCGTTGCCCCGACTATGAGTGAAAACTTCGCGAGATGGCTCAGTTGGCCGCTCGGAACGCAGATTTTTCGGTCGTCAGGCTGTCGAGGATGATTTCCCTTGAGCTCAATCCAGATGTTCCAGCCTGGAGGCGTTTTTTTTAATGAGCGATGCCGTTATCGTCGCGATGGCTTACAGGGACCCGGTGCTCTAGCGGGGCTCCTGTAGTTATTCTCGCTTTCGTCTTTCTCTCGTGCAGTCGAAGACAGGTTTTCGGCGGAAGCCGTTTCCGATGAGAAAAAATGTTTTCTTGACACACGTGTTCCCCAATTCCTCGCGGCAGTCCGTCTACTCCGAACGAAGACGAGCGAGCTCTTGGCTACCTGCAGCACTAGTTTGGTTTTACCATGCGTCATTGTTCGCGGTAATTTCTCTCGAAGGCTCCGACGAGTCCGGTCGGCGCGGCGTTACAAAATCCGTATTTGATCGGACACGCTGAACAAAATCGATTTCCCCTCTCAGTCAGTCAGTGAATTCTGTCGCCGACCAAGTATGCGTAGTAGTGTATTACTTCAACACAAACTGACCGTGGAGGAAGCCGACTCGCAAGAATTCTCTGGTTGTTGTATTCGGCGCGGTTCTGCATTTACGACATCCTTGACTTTCTGGCTGTTTGCCCGCTGCTCTCTGCATTTAATTCGAACGAAACATTCTGCGCACCCCATACACCGAGCGAGAACATAAGGGTCTGTCTCCGCTCGTCGTATGATCGTCTAAATCATGGGCTGCCAATTACGGGTGGTCGTCTACCACTGGGCTGTCACCGGCTTGTCGTCAGATTTTCAGCATGACGGCGTAGGAATGTGATCATTTTTTTCCGAGAATTCCATGATTTGATCACAGCAACGACTGACGTGCACTACAAGGATAGCTTTACTGTAGGTTCGCCCCGGTTCCGTAAATTCTCGCCGTGCGTCTCCCTTATGCGCAAAGTCCTTCCCGAATGCCTAGCCGCCGTACCGGTCTTCGGTTGTTTATGTAGTCCGGGCCGCATGGGCTGCTTGCATCACCCGTCATGGGGATCGGTAGCACAAAGAATTCTTTTTTTTCGCAGCTCCAACATCCAATGCACGAGATGCTCCATTCGTCAATTGCCGTATAGAGGTGGGCGACGGATGGCAGACATGCCTGCTCGCCTGCCTTCTGCTCGCAGTTTACCTAGCCCGCTCACAATCAGACATCACACGCTTCTTCGGAAGAATTGAACTTGCGGGGCGAAGTTGATAGCGAACCCCGACCTGACCCGTGGGACGATGCGGGACGCATCGGAGGGGATCGTGATTTACGTAGCGTGTTTCAATTTGTTTACTTAAAAACTAGTACGTGTTCGTTTAGCCTTCCGATTATTAACGAATTGAGCTGTTGCTCTGGCCCTGATAAACAGTCAGTCGTTCAATGAAGGATTTCTGGGAGCAACAGGCACGTGCGAGATGCGCTATCGATTGAACGAATCTTGGACCCGCGACAAATTCTCCTTTGACGATCTTCGGGAGTCGTCAGAGATCGAGCAGACAGATCGACATGCTCATTGCGAGGGATGAGCTCGTTCGTCTGACGCATCATCTTATCTGCACAGTTTGCAGAGCGGTCTCATTCAGGATTGTACGTGTCCCTTGAAGCGACACCGTTTAAGCTATGCCATGATTGGGGGCCCGGTTTGCCGACGATACGGACAGCGAGACGAGTTCTGTCGATCATCTGTCGGTCGCTCATTCCCCGAAAACGTCAACGGCTAGGTGACGAATCGAGTTTCTGAGATGGTTCTTGACGTGTTCAGGGAACTTCTAGCTGCCTTACTATCAATGCAGGGGGTGTGGGTATTCGTCCGTTGAAAGAAATATAAGAACCATAATGATACGTTTCCAGCTTATTTTCTGCCCAGATTCATCGGCACTACCCGTCTTGGGAAGAATCTCGCGAGAGATTTCCCTTAGCTCAGATTTCTGTCGCTTCTTTTCTCTGAGTTTCTCTTCTCTGTCTGTGAATCTGAATCGTATCTCAAGGGAATCTAAGCAAAGCAACCGAATGTTGACCTGGTACAGCTAGTGCAGTCACTGAAGTACCGACGACATCTAATCATTCGTCAGAGCAAGAGTTCGGCTATATTTTTTCTGGAAGGGCGGGTCCCACAAGCGGTTTTTCGTCAAGGTACCCCCATTGTGCTCGAACCGACACCGGTTCAGGGACACAATTTATCCGTTATCTGAGTTCTATGGTCGAGAAACTCGGAGGAACATTTTTTCTCGTTGAGAGCGTCCCCCCGTCCCCTTTCCATCTGGAACGTACTCAATGATCAAGCATAAACAATCAGCAGCATTGAGTCGGAGTCGAGTTATGATTCCTGCGGTGCATTCAGCTCCGAACAACCGATCTCTTTCAGAGCTTGGTGTTGCCGTCTCCCTCGTATGAGAGATTTCGAGATGGCAGCACCCAGATCTAAGTCGATTAGTCGACGCTCCTCGAAAGTGGTCAATCGGGAGGGAAGCTCGCTATCCGCGTGTTTTTTTTTCGAAACTTCGAACAGACTTTCTGTAGCTTTTAATCCGCGTATGTTTCCCCCTTGTTCCGCGGCGGTAGGCAGTGATAAAAACTGAAGGTCTTCTCTGCGAGCGGAAAACTCAAAAATGAAACATTCGTCCCGAAGCATCGGTTTCCGCCGTCCCTGGTATCGACACGCGCTTTCCGGCTCATCAGCGGAACCGGTCGCTCGCGATGACTGGATCGACGGAATTTTTGAGCCCACCAAGAATAATTATTGAATGCGTTGCCGCCTTGCCAAATTGATGATGTATCAATGGCAGATGGAAGATTGGATTTATGGTTGAGGGACCGTTGATTCCGGTGGCGCGATAAAGCAATTTCGAATCGTCACCGCTCGGATCCCGGCTCGTTGTGACTGACGGAAGAAGTTCGTCGGAAGAAGAGCTAAGCATGTCATCGGGCGAATATTTACCACGCTCCAGCGTTCCATATATCATTATCTTCAATTATTATTCGTTTGGTGCCTTCCCCTGGAGCTTCAGTCCAGCTCCGGCGTCGCGTCGTCTTCGCTCCCCCGACTTTCTCTTCCTCCTTTCGGGCGGTGCTCCTATGGTCAAGGAGAATATCGAATCCTTGCAGCAGCTCGGCTCATGAGGATTGACCGACCGACCCTGAGAGGGAAGTCACCGTCCCCGGAAAGTACGCGAGGCAATATCACGGATTCTATTTCTGCGAAAGGAAGCTACCTTCAGATGATGCGGAAAATACTCTCGATCCGGACGACCGTTCGACTCAATTTCAACTTGCCGTCTAGAGCCTTCATCGCTCTCAGGAGACCCGCAGAGTCTCACGGATTCAATTCCAAAGAGCTCCCATCCATCTATGCGAACAGTAATCCTCAATGGACAATCCTCGCTGCGGGATGAGGAACAAAGATGCCCGCGGTCGCGATCAGAAGATGAGATTGGGGGAATTACACGGATCAAGCGTCGTCACGATGAATAGCAGGGAGGGAGCACCCTGCGAGCGGGCGAATTAGCGAAGGTCGTTCCTTGATCGACATCCCGAGAGATAGTTGATTCTTTGAGCCTCCAACACTCCTCTTGTTTGTGATCTTGTATAATACCGTATGATGGCATTTACATGACACACACCGACTTACATAACGTTTTGCAGCAGCGGCGGCCTTTTTGAAGAGTTGCGGGATTTGCCGTCGTGAATCAAGTGACTGATGTCTATGGGGTCAGCGGAGCACAACATTTTCAAGGGCCCCACAATGGAGAAGAGAGGGAGTCGTGATGGAATAACGGGACTCCACCATTGTCGTCTGCCATCATCTGGCGACTATCCAACATCTGTATCAATCAGAGCGACTTGGAAGCATGCCCTCGAGCCAACCGATCTTCTTACATCGAGGGCTTTCAGTGACTGGATAAA